TTATAACTGTACTAAAAATTACTATATTTTTAGGAAAGCTAAGCTATACTAACGTAATGACGCAAAATTATTATTACGTTTGAAATAATTTTAATTATATTTTAAGTAATTTTCATTATGCAGTAGCCCTACAAATATTATTTCACGGCATAATAAAAATTACTATGTCCAACATAGTGAAAATTGTGATGGTACAATTTTTGCGACGCGACATAAAAAATTTTATTGTAATCGTTTTAAAACATACCACATTCGAAAGTAAAATTTGATATGTAACATAGTAAAATTTCTGATTTCACTGCATTGCTATTTAGTATAGTAAAAATTACTGTGTTCGAAAGTAATTTCGTAAGATGTATATAGGTGTATACGCCTATTGAGTTTCAAATTTGAGGTTATACGAATGTAAATATTAAGAGAAATATATTTTTTGATTCATCAGTGTTAAAAATTGATACGTGCCAACAATTGATTTTGAATCAACTAACTATCCGTTGTTAATACCGTGGTCCACAGAAAACCTTTTGATTTTTTAACTTTATTGTGTGTATGATAAACAGTAAACGTTCCCACATGTACTCTATTCACACTCGCATGGACATCATGTCCCGTGGTCTAGTGGTTGCGGAGCCTGACTCGGAAGCTCAAGGATGAAGGTTCAAATCCCAGTCACTGCAGATCTTTTTTAAAATAAAAATATTTCTAAAATACATCAATATCTATGTACAACAAGAAAAACATATCTATGTACATTTAAATCTACATACATTAATTTTTTGATGAACTTAAGCTTTCCTATAAAATAAAGTAATTTTTATTATAGTTGTAACACTTTTTCTAACACCACTTCTCTCAGTGTATAGAATAGTTGTTTATGTAACAAGTGCGGAAAAGACGATTTCCCGCACGAGTTGCGTACAAGTTTTTTCGCAATAATTGTGCGGAAAATAAGTTTCTTCCGCACTGATATTAGTGTGGAAATAGTAGTTTTCCTACGAGTTTGAAAAGTCTTTGTTTGCGAACCGAGAGGTTTGCGGCCCGAGCCGAAGGCGAGGTCCGTAATGAGGTTCGTAAAGGAGACTTTTCGAACGAGTATCGGAAAACTGCTTTTTTGCCCGAGGAAGTACCAGCCTCCCAAAACCACTCGAGGGCGGAAAATTGATTTTCCCACATAGTGTGCGGTAAAACCTTTGCTGCACACCTTTTCCGCACACCTATTCTGCACACTGTTCGGGAAAATAGATTTTTCACACTAATATCGGTGTGGAAAACACCTATTTTTCGCACACTATGGCGAAATAGTAGTTTTCCTACTAGTTTGAAAAGTCTTTGTTTGCGAACTGAGAGGTTTGCGGCCCGAGCCGAAGGCTAGGTCCGTAACGAGGTTCGTAAAGGAGACTTTTTGAACGAGTATCGGAAAACTGCTTTTTTTCCCGAGGAAGTACCAGCCTCCCAAAACCACCCGAGGGTGGGAAAAAATTTTTTTTTAGATAAAACTCCTTTTTTCAACAATAATTTTTGCAATTGAATAAATGCTTACAACTTTGTAAGTTTTAAGTATAGTAAAACGCAATTAACTTTTTACAAAAATAAATAGTTTTCTACGTAGTTAAAAAAAAATCGATTTTGATACGCTGCTTTTAGCAAATGTTATAAACAACTTAGCGTTTCTTAAGACTGTTCAATAATTTTTTAGTTTACCAATTAGAAAAACTTTCTGTAGAAAAATCATTTTTAAATAAATACTGTATTAAATATATCGTGAAATCGATTCTTTTTTTATTCTACTCTTTGCAGGCATGACCGCTAGTGCATTAATTCATGTCATTCATTACTTAACTACCACTTACAGACGTTAAAGTTTAAGTACTTCCCGATCAGAAACCTTAGTGGGGTGCTGATGGGGTCCACTCTAGGTTGCCAAATTAACCACATGTGGTCCTAGAATGGCATCGTCACGGGGCGTAGATGTGGTCCTCTCTAGTGTGCCCCAATAGGAAAGAAAGTTTACCTAACCCTTTGTATTTTTTGTGTAGGTACATCATTAAATTTGATACAATTATCATAAGAGCATGTGCCTGATTTACCATGCGTGCTATGCAGATTGTGAAGTTTATCGGCCGTACAGATAAGGAAGAATTAAATTACGGTCACATATATTTAACCCAAACGCAGAAATATATATTGTTTTCAACAGTTTTAGCTAGGTTATTGGGGCAGCCTACGATGGACCCTCAGTTCGCCCCGTGACGCGCCTAATGGGGAACCAACTAGGCAGCCTAAGGGGGACCCCATTAACTAAGGTGGCAAACCCATTAAATTTCTGATCGGGTTATTGATTATTGAAATATATATTCATTCATGAGTGTATAAACGATTTGTGAATAATAACAGCAGACTACCTGTAAAACAAAAGAAGATATTTTCTTGTCTTTAAATTCAATAATTATTAAACAATTGAAAAATACGCTAATTTGTTTATAACATTTGTTTAATAACAATTGAAGTCGACGCTTATGTTGGACAAAAAGATTTTTTCCAATAATTAGACTATATTTGTAAGTGATTAAAACGATTTCCTTCCAGGTGGCAGAAATTTTCGTATCTACTATTTTTTCGTGCTTTAACTACCAGACTACAAGAAAATGACTGTGATGTCTGATGAATAAATTATTTATAATCTGTAGTTACTTATTATGATATTTTTAATGTTATACATAATATTTAATGTAAGGTAATAAACTATCAACATAAAATTTCATAGTAATGTTTTTTTTAACTCAAATACAATGGAAATTATTTGCATATTTTTCAGTTGAAAACTATATTATTAGCGTCACTTTCTTAATAATTGGGTTCTGTTGTGGAATAAGGTATAGTTTGATTATCAAGACAGATTTCTTACAAAAAAGACACTTGATGTTGTACAGAATTAAAACGAAAAGCTAGTTTAATAAGGCAGAACAAGTCCTTGCTCGCACAGAATTTTCCAAAAAATGAATATTATAATCTTCTGTACCATGAAAAACCATGTCACCAAGCTCAAAGTTCATGTACACGATTTTTCCCTTGTTATCGAGGGTATACATAGAACAAGAAAAAATTCATTTCAAAGGTGTGCCTTGAAAAAAATTTTTTTTTTTTCGGGATGCGTAAAGGCAAATTTCGATTGGATTTCTATCATGCGATGGCGAGATTCATACAGCATGTCGAAATTCATGAGAAGTGGAGGGTAGAATGATACTGAAAGGCCTGCATAGGCTTGTATTATCAAACTTAATAATTGTGTAAGCATAACAAAACTTAGTAGGTAATACATTTTTCATCTGCGTTTCATTTATTAATTGATTATCATCAAGAAATATACACCAAAACTATTAGATTTGTAAGATTTTCATTTATGTAATATACATTTTTTCATAAGCTTACATTGGCATTCAACTAGATGTCATTGTTTTTGAATTTATTTACTTTGGACTTTTCAAGTTCTGGACTTCTCGGTCGGGTCTGCTTAGGCTCTGGACTTTTCAGTCTAGACTTTTTGGTTTGGACTCTTTATTATAAAAAATAAATGGTAGATATCCTATTCTAAATAAGTTAGATAACTCTTACCACCAAGCTTGATGCGCGCAAAAATAACGTAGAGTGGCAGCCATGAGAGAACAAAAAGGATGACAACGACAATAAGCATCTTGACAACTTTGACCTTAGACTTCTGTTGGAGGCGCTCCATCTGATCATCCTTTGTATCACTTGGTATATTACGTCGCCAGACTTTTATCCAGATGAGTATGTAGCATAGAGAGATGAGGATCATAGGGAGAACGTAGCACAGTAGTAGATTACCGATAAGAAAAAAAAAGTTGCCATCTTCTTTTCGTGGCCACACCTCAATGCAGAGTTTTAGCTCAGGATCGTCTTTGTAGATAGGTACAAGATCAAAGAAAATCAGCCAGGGTGATGTTGCAGTCAGTGCAATAAGCCAGATCATTACTATCAGAATGCGAGCTCGTCGTTTTGTTATCTGGCACTTAAGTGGCCACCAAATTGCAATAAATCTGAAATCAATTTAATGTTAGGTATTAATGTGATTTTTGATATTTCTTTTGATTTTTGGTTTTTGTACTAATAAAGACGGATATGTGATTACAATAATTATGTCTTACAGATAATGGAAAAATTCATTGCAATAAATTATCATGTACGGTATCTCTGGTATAAAGATCTATAAGACTAATCTCTACGTGCTTCTTTCATGTGATAAGCCATTACACTATCTCTTAAGGTTTTATCTTCATAAACATTTTGAATCTAAATAACTGCAATTTTAGATAAATCTAATTCGTAACCTTTGTAGCTTATGCATAGTAAGGATTGATATTCAGTTGTGATGTATTTGTGTCCAATCTATTTTTCAACATATATAATAATACTTAATATTAAAAAAGAATACAGATATAAACTTGGTAGTGAAGATATGCTCTTACAGATTTAAAGAATTGTAACTTGCAGGTGATTCACCTCTTTTAAGATGCACGTTGGTCTTTACACAAGTGCCTTCAAGCTGATCAAGTATATCAAATATATTTAATTAGACAAGCAGTTTTAAATATATAAGTAAATAAGACCCTTTGATTGTGTATAAATAATTCCAATAAAATTTACGTTTTAACTAAAAAGGAAAATCAAGTAATTTAGGGTTGCAAAATAAAAAACTTTTCTAGAACTTCTATGGTATTTAGACAGTTTCAATAACGTATATATTTTTAATAAATTGTCAGCCTTGCAAAGTACTTAAATTATAATCTAGAATGGTAAGTAAAGATTACTTGGCACTGCTCACAGTTGGTATACTTTTAAGTATTATATTGTACAGTATCATCCAACAGCACGAGCTGCCGCAGTATTTCATTTTTCCTATTACTACCTTAGAGGGAAACTGTGAGGGAAAGATGCTGGTTCACTACCCTGCCTAGGCAACCTCTCTAGAGTATTTTATGGAAGCCCGGTAACGACGTCGTGCGTGCAGGCTTGAAAGCTAGCAAGTTGAACGTTTGCATGCGTGAAAGGTATCGAGTTTTGTTCTTGACGGAAATCTCTATATGTGTTGGTATGTACATCTCCGGCCATATATATATATGTATTGTTTTTTGATTTGCTTATCAAACATGTGGAGTGGACGTCAATGAGATGAGACGACTCAAGAAAAATCATGTATTTTCAATAATTTAATTTTTTTGTAAACTATGCCTAAAATGTTATGTGTACAGGCTTCAAAGTTATTTTTAGAAAAGAAAACAATTTTGTGTTTAACATTAAACAAGTGTACATTTAAGTTGTTTTTAATAGTAATTTGTTTCCTATGAGTTTGCAAATTGTTATTCTGTATTCAAAATTTTTTTGCAGTTATTATGGAATCCAGGGAAGACATTATAAAAAAATATTTTGCTGAAAACTATAAATATGAAGAAATTCAGAGTATTTTGCAGCAAAGTGTTCATGAAGTTAGTATCCGTCACTTACAAAGATTAATCAAAAGTTTAGAACTAAAAAGAAGAGAAACATAAGTGAAAATTTACCAGCCATAATTGCTAGTATCATGTTGGAGTTACAAGGCAGTGGAGGTTGTCTGGGGTATAAAACTATGTGGTTGAGGCTAACACTGCAGTATGGGTTAGATGTTTATCGACAGACAGTTTTAAATTTAATGCGTTTACTAGACCCTGATAGTATCGAATTCCGAGCTCGATATAAATTACACAGACGTGTTTACAAAGTACCCGGTCCCAACTTTGCCTGGCATTTAGACGGGTACGATTAATTGAAACCATTTGGCTTCGCTGTATATGGTTGTGTGGATGGTTACTCCAGAAAAGTTCTGTGGTTTGAAGAGGACACAACTAACAACAAACCACAAGTAATTACCTACCACTACTTAAAGGCTGTGAAAAAATTTGGCTGTGTTCCTTCTACAGTAAGGTCTGATCATTAGAGAATTTTTATTAAATGTTTTTGTATTTCCTTTTCTTTCTCCTTTGCAATTGCACGTTTTAAAGCACGATATCTCTTGACCCTTTTCTTACTTAATGACAACGATCGTTTCACTGTCTCACTCATTTTACAAAAAAAATTAAAACATCTATTCAATAAAAATTCAGAGAACCCTTAACATCTCAGTTAATTATCTTACACACACTGCTCCAAAATGGCTGTCATTCGCATCAGTTGTATTTATTGTAGCTACAGTATAAGAAAGAGTGAGATGGAAGATACATAGCTAGACTTCCTACCTAGTCCCTACCAATTCCATCGTAACAAAACCTACTTTGGACCTACCGAGACAGCCTACCTAGGCTCTCTCTAACTACCAAGGTAGCCTAGTTACATTTCCGATCGGGTTGCCGAATCACTCAAAAGTGTTGCACGTTTTTGAAGCTGAGAGACAACAAAGGCGAGTACTCCTCGATACACGTCTTTGAGCCCAAATACAGCCAAATACAACCATTTCCACCTAAGATTTAGGTTAGGTTCGACTACTGGAGCAGTCGACGTTCATAACGGCACAATTACGGGTGTACGACTCAATATGTGACCGTCTTTAAATACGTCATACACTCTCGAGAGTAGGTCAATTAATCTCAAATAATTCGATTACTTATTAAATACCTAATGCTTTGAAAGCTTATCATTTCATACTTAAAAAAGTTGTGTTGTAGTACCCATGTATTTTCTGTATCAGTACATCATGCGGTATTTCTTTATATACAACTAGCGGGCCCCCCTATCTCAGCTTTGCCCAAGACTCACTAAATAAAGCATTGTAGTGTGTTGACATGTAATGTGAAATGTTTTCAGTTAGAAATTTTACATCTATTCCGAACACTTCTCAGATCAAAAATTTGTTCATTAAAAACATATTTGTTCGGAATCCGTTGTTCTTTGTGCCACAAAGTTATCGTTGGCCCCAAAAGGCCGTTGATTTGCAGTTTCTCCCGTATAATTTATAAACAGGGCTATTTTTTAAAGCTGTGAACGCACAAATAATTTATAATAAAAAAATGTGTTTTCTCTCAATTCACAACTTTATTACCACAGAAACAAAGTCCTGAAGGTTAATCTCTACATTTTTTATCGCCACAAATATACAAATACATATTCTACCAATTTAAAAATCTGAAAGTTTCAATAGATTACTGAGGGTTATAGTGGAAAGCTTATCTCTCACTTAATAAATTCTGTGGTTATTAATTTTGATGCTGCTTTAAAAATCTTAATAAATGTTTTACGTCATTTTCTTGACGCATTAAATTGTATTCGTTAAATGCATATAAAATTTTCCTTCCCATCCAACTTCTTACGACTTTTGGCATAGTTAAGACTTTTGTGAGCCCTGAAGGCTATTTTTTACAACTTTATTAGGATGTAATATATTTGTTTCTAAAGTAGTTCGACGTCCGATGACCCTAAAAAGGACCAATAAGCTTCTAAAGTAAACTCTTTTTCGACTGAGGTTTCTAGCAAACGTGATTGTCTCTATACCTCAGGGTGATCTTCTCTGGCCTGTTATTGTCTAACTCCTAGTATACCGTCGAAGACGTTGGTGTCTAAAGCACCTTCTTTTTTTTCAGACTTAGTTGTTTTGATAATCCAAGGTGGAGGGAATGATTCCTGATGCTTGCTCGTTGGAGGCTGTTCCGTTAGCTCAAGTTTATTTTTCCTTTGTAGCTGTTAGGTTCTCATAGCGCAGACCTTGAAGAAGATCGGTGATTCCTGGTTGAATACTTAGAGTTGAAAGCTTAATATAGGGTCGTCGGTCACCGGGGTTCCCAGCTTTGCAACGAACAACTCCACTCGTGATGTCTGCCAGTGAATCACTGACTTGATTTAATAGTAGCCGGCTTTACATAGTCTTTTGGTCGACAAATCGTTTCCGTAAATGGTAGTAAACATTTACTTGTTGGAAAATTAGTTCAAACTTAGGTGGCCCTTAAAAGAACCGTTGAGATTGATGGTTAAATATAGGGAACGTAAATACTTTTAATGACCCTGAAAAAGGCCAGTGGTGAAATTTCCAGTTATTCCTTATAATTGTTCTCTTAGTAGGGAAAGTGGGCCTGGAAGATACTTTCTCTGCAGGTATACCGTTGGGACGACCACTTAGAAGAAGGCCGTTGTGGCTGCCCGTATTCTTCAGGGCTGTCTTTCCTGGCTTGAATTTGAAGTAAAAATTTCTCTGCTGGCACCAGGTTGGGTGGTTGAACGTGAACTCTGAAGTGATGGAATAGTTTGTATTGTACTCTAGCTAGACACTTCTCCTGGTATTTCCTAGAAGACGTTGACGTTCCAAACCCCTATATTTTTCCGTGTCACTTGGTTATCTTGGTGATCCGGGGTACAACCGATTTATTTTGCTTGCACATGAAAGAAGAATGTCATCGGTAGCCGGGATGTCCAGTACGACCAATGACTCTGTTCTAGGTGTAGAGCCGATAAAAGACTACGATATTCTACAACTCGATGGGGCATCTTACAACCATTCTTCACTATGTCTGACTGCGGGTGGCTTTAATTTTACCTCGACGCCACCTAGAGGATCCTACTGAACTACAGCTCAATTATACCGTAGTTCAGCAAAACTTTGAGCTTATTCATCGCTATTGTTATTAGCTTTTTAAAGAAAAAAAACTGTGCGAAAACCATCTCGGAATCATCAAGAATCAGTATGCTAAATTCCAGCCAAATCGATTCTGTGGTTTTCGTGGTTAGCGATTACAACGGTTTTAGCGACTTTGCTTTATATATTAGTAAGATTAGGTGATGGTTTGTGACGCTCACTATTTTATCCGACTATCTTTTAATCAGGAACCCATTGATTGTGAAGGTATGCTTTTTAACTGGAATGCTGATAAGTTGATGGCCGGAAATATAATGGTCGTTCACTATCCTTTCAACAGTAACTGGTGCGTTTATGGTCGGAATATCTTGCAGGGTATCCATAAAAAATTTAAAGTCCAAACATTACGTCCGAAAAACTTTATAGCAATAATTAAGTAAAATT